TCTCTCATGGTCCCTCCTTTGTGACTGAGCATAGGCCCTTGACAGTGATGGTCTTGCCTGCAAGGGGATGTGCCCTAGGACACAGGCCCTCATTCCAAAACCTGAATCTTATCTGTATGGCTGTGCTTGAGACACTGCTGAGGGCTTATGACTTTTTTTTTTTTGCTTATGACTTTTAAAACTCATTTTTAAGAGAAGTTTTGGCAGCAAATAATGTTTGTTTAAGTAAGGAGGACTTGAAGTGCTTGTTGCAAAATATCAAAGACCACAGCCTTTAATATGGATTACATCTCAATGTCAAGAAAACAAAAATTCTTACCACTGGGCCACTAGGCAGCCTTATGATAGAGGGAGAAAACATTGAGATGGTCAACAGCTTCCTCTTACTTGGATCCACAATCTGCACTCATTCCAGCAATCAGAAGATCAGGAGATATATATTGCACTAGGAAAGTCTACAGTCAGGGACCCCTCCAAATTACTGAGGAGTGATGATGTCAGTTTGAAGACTAATGGTGCACCTGATTCAGGCCATGGTCTTTGCAGTCACTTGCTATAGATCTTAACAGTTGGACAGTGAATAAGAATGACAGAAGAAGAATTGATGCCTTTCAGTTGTGGTGTTGGAGAAGATTACTGACTATTCCGTGGACTATCAAAAGAACAAACAAATATGTCTTGGAGAAAGTGTAGCCTGAGTGTTCCTTGGAGGCAAAGATGCCAAAGCTCCATCTCACGTCCATTGGGAATGTTGCTAGGAGAAGCTATTCCTTGGAGAAGGACATCATGCTTGGAAAGGTGGAGTGAAAGGTCAGCGAAAGAAAGGAAGAGCAGATGGATCGACATAGTGACTGCAGCTAGTAGCTTAAATATGTCAGAAATGATGAGGATGGCACAGGAAAGAACAGGCTTCAGCTCTATTTTTTATAGGGTTGCTGTGAGTCCTACTCGACTCAGCAGCACCTAACAACAGCTAACTAACAGTGGTGTGTGCTTACTCCTTCAGTCTCCAAACAAGAAAAGATTTCCTGAACTTAAATGGAAATCTAAAACTTAGGAAAGAAGACATGAAGTAGTACAGGTCTTCCTTGCAACAAGCCCTGATGTAGAAACTCTACCACTAAGTGAACTGGCTTTGGGGAGAACGGATGATGTGATCCTTGTTTTCCTTGAAAGGCTGACTTCTCTATAGGTGAGCTCACTGGCACACTCACATTTGAGCCCTGCCAGAGTCTGGTTCCTTTAAAGATTAGATCATGAACCATGAAAGCTCCTGAGAGTTGGTTGGTTGATGATAAGCAAGGGGCCTCAGGCCTTTAGCTGCACCAGGTATGAGTAGAACAGGGAAATGGGCAATGCCAGATTACCCTGCTCTTCCACCCTGTAAACTTCTCTCTGCCTATGAGGAAGGCAGAGACCCGGCAGTTTTCTGGTGGGTTCAATTCTCTACAGCCCTTATTTTAGGGAAGTGTGTACTGCCAAGTCCCTGCCCACTCCGAACCAGGGCCATCTTGTTTAATCTTTCTGAGAAATAGTGCACAGGAACCAGAGCCTCTCTGTTCAGATTGTATACAGCCTCTTTGGTGCTTGTCTCCTTTCTCGCTTAATACCTCCTAACCTATGTCTACCCTTCTGCTAGAAAAGATCTGCAGCTTCGGTTTCCTGGTGAGGCACTCTCAGTATGGCAGGTAGAATGCCACTGCCCAGCATCACTGCCTCGGGGACAGATGGACTCAGGGCTGCAGGGCTCTGTGCTCTGAACCACCAGTCTGTAGGAAAAGGTCAGCAGATTGAGTTACCTGGCTGGGGATGAGAGTCATTCATGTCGTTTCTGCTCTTGTTGAAGTAGACCACACCAGACCTGATGCATTTGTTTATAGCCACCACACTTAGTAGGACATAAATTTATGGTTAAGGTCACAAAGGACTCTACTATGTATATTGGGGGTCTGCACTAGTCTTTTATGTACATTCTCTCATTTAGTCTTCATGACAAAGCACAGCCTTGTGTTAGAGATGGGAAATTGAGACTTCGGCTAAGTGACTTGCAGAGACACAGAATTAGAGTGTGGAACAGGTATGTGATCGGAGTCTAGTGCTCTTTACTCAATTCTCTGCTGCTCTCCATAATGGATAAATCCCCTAGGAAGGGAACTCAGCGGAGGCAGGAGAGCTGGCTTCAGGCTGTTGGAGAAGGGACTGGGCATTCTCCTCCTGGGTAGAGTTGGTAGATGAAATGCAGGATACCCAATACCATTTATATTTCAGATAAATATTTGTTTTCAGTATGATTATGTCCTATGCAGGGAGCTCAAGGGGCCTAATGGTAAGAGTTACGCAGGCAACCCAAAGGTACACGGTTTAAATTCACCAGCTGATCCACAGGAGAAAAATAGGCAGTCCCATCCCATCCTATTAACTGCCTCTGTAAACCCATTGGAGGGTCAGCTATGGGTCTGTTCAGATTCGAGGGTACACAACAACAGCATATCCTATGCAATATTTGGCATATACACAAAAGCTTTATTTACTGTTTTTGTGAAATTCAAACTTTACTGGTTCAGTGGGCTTCATATATTTCTCTTTCTTAAATCTGAACACTCTAGTTGGAAACTACGAGACACACTGAGGGCAGCATAGGCCACCCTGTAGAGGCAGAGCTCTGGCAGGCAGGGTCACACTGCAGGCTGTGTTTGGATGTAGGCTGCATGAGAATTTGGTAGAGGTGCTGAAGAAAGAATCCAGGTTGAAGGTACCTGGCTGCAGTGAGGCTGTAGGAAATCGATATTGTGGAAACACACAAGAGAGTATTTATGTGGGTCTTCTGGAGGCTCTGTAACAGCCAGGGTTGAGAAGCGCTCTCTGAAATTGTTCTCTGTCCACGCTGTGCTGAGAAGACCATGCTGTCTCTGCTGTCCAGCAGTGATGGAGAGTGTCTGTCATCTTGTGGGAGCCAGCCTGGCCAGTGTGGTCTCTGAGAATGGTCTGTTCTGGCTTGAAGAAGCAGCATTGAAGGTAAATGAAATGTGATGGTGTGGTGGTTTGTTGTGGTTTTTTTTTTTATATCTTGCTAGGAATTGATTGAGACTTCCCAGTTCTTCATGCATCTCTAGCAAAGAGTGTGGCTTCAGTGACATGCTGAGGACTGGAAGTGCCCTGCCTCACTCCAGGTGTGAATGGTAGCATGAAAAACACCCACCACCAAGGTTCTGCACAGGCCTTTGCAGGCAAGTGAGTAGACACGGAGACCTAACAGTTCATTTCTTGACTTTTAAAGAGATTCTCTAGGTGTGACTACATCTTATCAGAAAATCATGACTTTAAACACAACCTTTCTGGTGACCTAGTGGGTAAAGAGTTGTACTCGCAACCCAGAGACGCGTGGCTTGAATATACTAGCTGCTCCTGGGGAGAAAGTTGGACAGTCTCCATCCATGTGATTTTCAGCCTTGGAAAATCCTCTTGAGGGTCAGCTGTGGTTCAGTTTTGACGTGATGGTACATAACACCACCAACATGGATTCTCTGCCCGCTGTGAATTAGCCACAGCATGGCTCTAATCCTTCGCTGACTTCCTCCTACCCACCTGCTTCCAGGCCCTGACATGTAGTAGGTGCTGAAACCCATTTTAACACCAATAAGGAGTCAGACAAATCCACAGATGTCAAGTCTGATAAAAGAACCCTGGGGGCGCCATGGTTCAGACGCTGCTTCTAATCGAAAGATGGACACTTCAGGCTTACCACAATGGTTAAGTGTTCAGCCTCTAACTAAAAGGTGGTTGATTTGAACCCACCCAGCAGCTCACTGGGACAAAAATCTGAGAGCTGTTGCCATAAAGATAGTAACCTAGGAAACTCTATGAGGTAAGTTCCACCTTGTCCCATAGGGTTTCTCTGAGTCAGAATGGGTTCAACAGCATCCAACAACAGCAGCAACTTACAGTGCATTCTGAAAGCAGATGAGAACGGCACTGTCTCACTGTTCCTACCTACTATGAAGAATATTTTAAATGTAATGATTCATTTGATAATTAATATTGATTGTGGACAATAGTTCTTTTGTTTATAGTGTTGGTACTAGATGGCACTTAACAACAACATATAACACCAAAGCCCTTGTCTCCATTTTGGAGTTGGATGAAGCGGCTGGAGTCTGTAAGAAGATGCTCTTACTTTGGTTGAGGATCTGTGTGGATTGTTTGGTTGTTTTTATTAAAGCCTCTTGTTTAGAGTCAACAAGACCTCCTGGGGCCCTTATATTTAAAAGTTGGGCCAAAGGGATTATATTTTAATCCCTTGTTACTATTTTTTTTTTTTTGGTAGAAACATTCTTCTAAGTCATACAGCACTCTGGCCAATTTGTTGTGCTGAGGTAATCTAGGTTTGCTGAATCTTGTACCATTTGGGTTTCAAATGCCATAATGGAATAACTGTCCCATAGGTGTGCCATAATAGCTACCCATTGTGGGCAATGTTTGGTAGAGCTCCCAGATTGATTCAAGTTTAGAAATAGGAGTGGCATCCACTTCCCAAACCACATGCCTCTGGAAACTATGAACTTGGAGAAACAGCGCTAATTATAGAAAGGCTTCAGGCCTTTTGTTCATTGGGTCACTATGAGTCATGCTCAACTTGATGGCAATAAACAACAAACAGCAACAATTGTTACATGCCATTGAACCACCTGTGACTCATAGTGACCCTGTGTACAACAGCTCTGAATGTTGCTCTACCCTGAGCCAATCTCACTGACTCCGAGGCAGATGCTTAATACCATTGCCCTAGGGACCATGTCAGTCTGTCTCATCTGGAGTCCTCTCTTGCACTGTCCCTCCATAATTATCACTGTCAAAATAACATTGTTATCAACTGAAAAATATTATTTGCTGTTGGTACTGGTAACTGAAATTACCTGGCTTTTTGTTTTCTTTCTCTTAACCTTTTGTATAATTGATTTATAAGCAGCAGGGACTCTCTTGTTTATGTTTTCTAGGGAAAGTCACTGAATGGCTGACATTTGACAACATGCACCACCAGTGGCTTCTGTTGGCCGCATGTTTTTGGGTGATTTTCATGTTCATGGTGGCTAGCAAGTTCATCACGCTGACCTTTAAAGACCCTGATGGTAGGTATGCTTTCACAGTGTACGCTTCCTTAAGCAAAGCTTTGTTGCATTCTTTTCTTAGATACTTGCATGGATGGCCTTTTTCACGGAATCATAAATTTTTTTCTCTTTCTCAGTGATTGTGTTTATTAAGGAAGTAAAAAAGTGAAAATCACAGGTTATAACTCAGGATCATAAACAACTCAGGATATAGTTCTTGTCTCCTCAGCTGTGCCTAAAGACAGATTCTTTCTGTTTCTATCTTGGCTTCTGCCCTAAAATGCCAGAAGTGAGCTTAGAGAACATAAAGTCTAAATCTTCTGGTAGCATAATATGGAGGGAATTGTGCAGCTAACTCAAAGGCCTCACCTCTCTGGAGGTTCAAATCTACCAGTGTCTCCTTGAGACAATGATGACCAGTCTTCTCCCATGCAGTTTACAGCCTTGGAAACCTATTGGAGGGTTAGCTATGAGTGAGTTCTGATGCAACAAACTAGGTTGAATTTTTTTGTTTGGTTGTGTGTGTGTGTGTATGTGTATATATATACACACACATATATATGTATGTATGTGTGTATATATCTATAGCTATATATATGTATATATAAATAAACAAGTATAAGGAATATGAGGTATGTCCCCAGCGTGTCTTCTGGGGAGCAGAAGGTGCTTTCCTTTGAGATGAGGTCAGAGTGATGCCAGAGGAACCAAGCTCACTCGCAATAGTGCTGTATATACCATGCATCATTGCACTGTCACCTTTCATCATTGGCTTCTGCCTTGGGAGTTCCTGTGCTGCTTGTCCTTAAAGACATAACTGTGATTGATTGGCACACCTCTGTGCCCCCTGATAACTCTGCACTGGTGGCTACCTGTCTGATAACCAGCTGACAGAAGGTCACCTTTAGTGGAAGGCAGGCCATTTAAATAAAGGCATTATCTCATTTTTTTTGTGCTTTGCCTTGTGCTTTCTAGAGAGCAAGTTTTTTAACAAGTGAAGGTTGTGCCAGTCCTGTGTCTTTAGATGCTATTTTCCAACAGCATGTGGTCACTTGGTGCCTCTGCCACATTTTTATAATTTTTACAATATTTCAAACTGTTCATAATGTTCTTGCAATAGATTATAGTATAGTATAACTTTATATGCACTGGGACAACATGAAATGTGTGGCTCTCTTCATTGTAATACCCAATTTGACGTGGGGGCCTGGAACCAAACCCCCAGTGTCTCCAAGGTATGACTGTATGCCTGTGCCAGCTGGTTTTCAATAATTTCTAAACTTCCTTTAGTGAACATATGCATTCAATTGAAGACCTAGAAAGAGCCCCAGATTGAGCTGCAGAAGAGCTGATAGCAAGTTCATTGTCTTGTCATTTGCTTACCTGAACCTCAGTGGTTCCCCCCGCTCCTATAAAATTGGCATAACTCCTGCTGTGACAGTATTCCAGGACTAATATTCTTGCAGTGTGGTGTGAGCTGTAAAATGCTGGGTCCATGCAAGGAGAGTTTAGTGGAAGCTTTGCTTCAGTGGCAAAGTCTAAGTTTAAGGTGTGAGACAAAGTTGGAGTATTAAAATGGTTCATTGGTGTTTAAAGGAAAGGCTCTGCAGTTCTATTTTTTAAACTGTATTACAAAGAAAAAATAACCCAACTCACCAACAATTAAAAGTTGATTATTAAAAAAGAAAAGAAATGGTTCATTGGTAGGATTTGATTGGCCTGGTAAGTTCTGCTTAATAAGGATATTTGTGAATCCTTTTCTATTCTGCACAACATCTTTATTCTGCACAGCACTTTGAACACTTACATACTGATTACAGCTTTTAGAAAAACGGTGCTTAGAGTTGCGTCCACACCAGCTTTTTGCCTGATTTCTTCCCGGTGGGCTGCACAGGTTTATGCCGCAGGTGTGACAGGTGGGCTGCAGGCTCCTGCTCCAGCCCAGAGGGCTCCCAGGGACAGCCACCTGCTGTGCTAAGTGCTCCTCCACGTGCCCGCACCTGCTCTCTTCCTCTCTGTTCCCCACTCTGCCTATAAAGGAGCAGTAAGGTCCAAGGTAGAAGGCCATCCAGTTGGCAAGAGGAAAACACTGTCCTGAGCCACCAGTGGTGAGTCAAAGCTTCACAGTTTCCACTCAGTGACATTTATTATGCATTTAGTGCCGAGGACTCTGGCTGTCGATGGAGGTGCTATGCTCATCTTTCAGGAGCCCTTGTGAAAAATCCTGCAAGGTTTCGCAGCCTTGGAAATGTGACGTCACATCTACCAATATCTGGGGTAGCCAGAGCGTCACTGCTAATTACAGCTCCCATGGGCCTTCAGCTCTGTCTGAAAGGGTTGTTAGATTTTGAAACCATGATCTCAGCTGGAAAATTAGGAAATTTCTCTGCTTACTCCACCGTAACTACACATAACTGATAATGGAAATCTCTTCTGTTAGAGCACTGGTTCTCACCCTGGCAGTATATTAGAATTTACACACTCCACTGCTTGACCTCAGACCACGTGAATTGAATCTCTAGACTTGGGGCCCAGGTGTTTACTTATTTTAAAAAAAGCACTATACATGGTTCTAACATGCAGCTAGGATTGAGCACCTTAAATGTTTAACCTAGGTGGGGAATTAGTAGTAGAAAAATAGCTTGCTGAGATTATAAAGTAGACTTTTCAAAGTCCATACATCTTATTCTTGATTCTCTTCAGTGCTACTTCATGAGGGAGTAATTTAAAAAGCACATCAGCCTGGGGTTGAGAGGTTAAATTATTTATACTGTATTTTTTTTAGAAAGTAAGTATATGTTTATTAGACAGTGTTAAAGGTGGTTGTTGTTTTGTGCCATCGAGCTGCCCATGACTCATAACTACCCTCAGTACAATAGCTCTGAACCCTGCCCTATCCAGTCTCTTGACTTCAACACACCTAATACCATTGCCTCAGTTACTGTGTCAATCCATCTCATCCAGGTTCTTTCTCTCCTGCACTGCCCTTCCACCTTCAAGGACTGGTCCTTCCTGGCCATATGCCTCTCAGAATATCCTTGTCTCCAAGGTGAAACTTGGTTTGACCCTCTCCAAGTCAGACTTATTTGTTCTTCTGGCTGTCTATGGTATGTTCAAGACTCTTATTCGGTGCCACAACTCAAAGGCATCAGTTCTTTTTCTGTCATACTTAGTCACTGTCCAGCTCTTTAATGCATAGCAGTAATTGCGAAGACCATGTCCTGCATCAGGCACATGTTAGTCTCTAGCCTGGCATCATTACTTTTTAGCACTTTGGAGAGATCCCCTACAGCAGACTCCCCCAGTACAATTTGTCCTTTAATTTCCCATAATATGTTTTAGAGAGAAATCCATAAAAAGGGATTAAATGTTACTCTTTCTTATGTACCTGTTTGCAATGGTCTTTTCTTGCTCCAAGAACAGAATAGGTTTTTCTTAAGCTACCACATGAAGCTTATTTTTTTTCCTATAATTATATTTTATTAATTTTCATAAACATTTACAGAGATTTTGGGTTTCCATTCATTCATTGTTGCACTATTCTCTCTACCCTCCTCCCAGTTTGTTCTTGTCCAAATGCCACAGTGCTTGTCAAAGCCAGTTCTGATTAATCTTCTTTGTCAGTGTGTCCTTTGCCATTCCCTATCACTCCTCCCTGAGAGAGACTTCACCCTGAGTCATAAGGAAAAGGGGATGGCGTATTCTCTTAGCTACTTCCTGCTGAAAAGGGACGCTGTGGGTTTCAGGGTGAAGATCTTCTCTCACTACTCTAAAGGGCCCCTTTGGCAGTAGGAAACACATAGACTATTATGGAGATTGATTTTGGAATTTAGATGCACTCTTATTGATTGTGCTTGGCTGTACATGTTCATATCCTTGAAGATGTATCATGGGGGTGTTGCAACCTAGAAGACACAAATTTGACTAACAAGTTATAAGTACATGAGTCCAAAAATTATGGAAAAGTAAAAGAAAAGATTCTTTCATTGTTTTACAAACCCTCCCCCAGGTCCCCTCCACCATGTAGCCCTCGCTCTAGTCTCCTGTGATGACAGAAATACCTAGTTATATATCTCTTTTAAACAGTTTTCTCCCTCCTCTGTTTCAGTGCAGTATACATTATTGAACCCATCTTACTCAGTCTCTCCCCAACCCCAAGGACAGTCCCATTCTACAACAGTGGCATCATGTAATATTTGTCCTTTTGTGACTGGGATATTTCACTCAGCATAATGTTCTCCAGAGTCAACCATTTTGAATAATATTGCATGAGTTCCTTGTTTTTTAATGCAGTATAGTATTCCATTGTGCGAATATACCACAGCTTCTCTAGCCATTCGTTTGTTGACGGGCACTTAGGTTGTTTCCAACTCCTTGCTATTGTGAACAAAGCTGCAATAAACATGGGTGTGCATATATCTGCTTGGATGTCAGCTATGGTCTCTTCAGGGTATATTCCCAGTAGTGGAATTTTGATTTAACCTTATTTTAAATGTTTTTATTTATTTATCTTATAGTGTCGTGGTCTCTCCAGTTTAGCAGTGGAGCATAACACAACATTATTTGTAGCACTTACCAATCCTTGGTTAAGGTTAACAGGTCTCAACTTCTTGTTGTGACTAGGCCCAGGTGTTACAACTAGACTTTGTCATAGGAAAATAACCACCTTCAGTGGTGGCAATTTAGTGACATGTTGATACTTTAAATAAAAAAATGGCATCCTTATGAATGCAGTTTGTGTGTAAAGCTCTTTTTCATGTCTTCTGTTTTACTTTCCTCTCACATTCTTTGCTTTGACCAGCTCCTCAAATAAATGTGATTTAAAGGCAGAACATGTGACTAAGTTGCTTTCTATGTAGTAGATGGCCTGCAAATGCTGGGTACAGAAGACCTATAGGGAATGCATTGGCAATGTCCAGCAACTGGGTGCACTGTAGTCATGAAATTGAGGGGAAATTATTACTTTTAGAAAGGTAACATATTAATTACAAATCTACAAATGTCTGGGTAAAAAATTAGAA